GCCTTTAACAGGCCCACCCAGGAGCGCCATAAAAACGTCTATGTAACATTCGCCCAAATATCACACAGCGACGGAGCGTAGAAAAAGTACCTATTAACGACTGGCAGGCGTCAGTTACCTTAATTCTACTCGTTTTTCACCGTCTCGACCTTGCCAGTTGATTTTCTGGTCTGTCTAGGGCAAAGTAAAAAGTTACCATTTTTAGGCCATCAGTCAAACGACTTTTGATCAGCTTTCTTTTGCATGCGAACACAACCACATAGCTGAGTCTCGGATCCTCAGACTACGTGATTGTCATTAAAAACACGGCTCGAACCACCTATTTCTATATGTTTTTGTGTGACAGTTTTATATTAAATCCATTGGAGATGGATTGACCCTTTCCCTTTTTCTATCTACTCATGTCCTGAAATATCAAATAGTATCGGTGTTTAATTAAGATCTAGGACATTACAGCAGCTGTTAAAGTTAGTTTATACAGTCCCTTTACATAGACAGTCTCTGGGGGACCAAGCCTCCGCTCCCGTGATTTTCTTGAGATAACACTCTTATCTCTTATATTTCGTGTCCCGGGAGGGTTCCGTGGTATTTCTCTTCCCCCCACTGAAGCCTCCGTCTCCACAAATATCTGTCGCTAAGGTCCTTATCGTGTGTTCTTGCCACGATAAGAGGCTCCGTGTTTTTCTGTCTCTGATACAACTGTTCTTCACAATCTATATCGTGGTTCTGATTTTCGTCTTTTTTATTCAAAATGGCCGTCTTTTTTCTATTTCTCAGAAATGTTCTTCTTCCAATCGAAATTTTAAAAATAAAAATTCTAGAACATTCTGACCCTCCGTCGCAACACTTTTCTGTTCATAAGGCTTTTAGTCACTCTTTTTTCTGTCGCGGGAAGGTTGTGCTGTGTCATCCGGCAGAATGGCACAAGTTAAAAACAATAATTTGTCTTAAAGACAATCACCGGTTGATTTGGCTAACTTGCACTAGTTTATCATGCAAAACTTGTACTGAAAAAATTAATGTTATGTATGAAATTTACAGCAGATTTTGATTTTCTTAGTGATTACGACAAAAACTGTTTGTATTAACGAAAATACGATGTGATTTTTGTTGTTCGACCAATTTTAATTTGAATAAACGGGATTGAACGCAAGTTTTGGCGCCCCACAAGGAACCTTTTTTTGTGAACGAGCATTCCCCATCCCCTCATCGTCTTTATCAGGCAACGTATCTCGACTCGATTGAACCCCCAGAATTTTGCATCAGTTGGTATGGTGTTTTGTCTTTATATGAAACCCGATAATCGTTGCATCTTTTATTCATTCCAAAGAGTAGCAACGGTGTTTCTTGTAACTAAAACTTTTTCAGCTCGAGAGACTTCTTGGAGCCCTGATCACTGACCAAGCTCTCTACAGATGGATTTTTATTGATCATCAGCTTCCGAGTCCAAATCATCAGGATCTGCACAACAGGCCACACAAACAGACAACAGCAAAGACCACGGACATCAAAAAACAAAAGCAGCTAAAAGATCTAAATACAACATTTTCAGTTCGGGATCTTTTAAGGATTATTAAGTCCTTATTGTGTAAGGATTATTAATCCTTGAAATTGGACATAGACAACAAATAATTAACTGATTTTTAAATGGATTTTAACTCAAACCCGCTGATGAAAAAACTTTTTGTCTTAAAATCCCCGAAATAAAACCTATATCAATTTAAGTGGTCTGGTAGTGAAATTTCAGGCAAAAGCAGTTAAATTTTTTGTCCGAGGGTTTTCTCTGCGCGCGTGTGTTGAAATTTGAACAATTTGCCTGATTCCCAACCCACCTTTGTAAAACTGAAAGCCCAATCAGTTTCAAGTATGTCATAGCCGGTTTCGCCCGTCCGATTATAGATTTCGTTGCCTGACAGTAATGATGAGTGTTCAGGTACGGAGTTATTAAGTGAATTAAATCGATTTTTCGAACATCAGTTTTCTTTCGCGTGTGTTGTTGGATTTCAAGCGACCTACTCAATTTCCTACCCTACTGGTAAAAACGGTGGCTTACGTATCTTTAGATCACGCGCTACGTAAGCTTCCCTAATTAAACAGCAGGTTAAGTAGACATGTTTCACAAAAAAAAGGATTGAGTTTGAATTTCAGCGCTAGGGAACCCCAAAATTTTTTTCAGTACTATTTTCATCATTATGTCTAATGCCGTATTGATCTTATAATTTGGCACGAAGTCATCAACAGTTCTCTGACCAGGCACAGCAGGAATAATAACAGGAGGCTGATTACAAATTGTTAGCTGGATACTGAGATAAAAGACAAAATTTTTACATTATTGTCTACTGTTCAGGCTATGGAAGTGAAAATACAAAGAAACAACTATCAGCAACGGGTATCCTCATTCTAAATAAAATTGGACATTTTAATTCCAAACACAAATCCAAAGATCGAATATTACGACTCTCTTATTGCTAAGGCGCCTTACTTTTCTGAACAACCACAAAAAGCGTAACCGTTTGACGCCTGAAAGCTGCAGAGCCTAATTGCTGGGGTCTTAAAACGACAAATTTCCCTCTCTTACAGTTTTGTTATTTTAGTGTTGACTCTCTAGTCTAACGAATTTTTCCTTTGTGTTAAGTTTAGTTCAAACTTAAATAATTTCGATGATAGTGAGTAATTCGTATTAGCATGTAGCAAACGTGTCAAAAAAAATTGCACTTTTCAAGTTTTTTGAAAAACCTAATAAAATCAAAAATGAGCTTTTTGAGTGTCACAAAACTATTTTACAGTATGCAGAAATTCAATCTCGGTCCTGAAAAACTGACACATAAAGGGCCAAATGCCAGAGCTTCACAGAAAAAAACTGTTGAGACATTTCTGGAACTGATTACTGTGGCCCTGTTAGATTAGGTCCGGCACAGGTTATGTGGCTTCACAAATTGACGACCACACTAACAATGAGGACCTGCAGGAAGAATTTTCTTACAATTGTCGCAGCCGAGAAGCACGAGGCAGATAACACATCTAGAACTTCATATCAGTCTAAAAACTCAGAAAAATTTGATTCTTTTTTATCACATAACCAATCTAAGTTGTCAGAGCAAATTAGTTGAAATCAAAAATTTAGCCGCCACTCAAATACTTCAATTGACACAAAATCGAGATTCGTTGATTCTAAAGAAAGGAAAGACGAATTAGAGAGGCAGGCAAAAGTATCAATAAGGTTGATAGAAAAGCAAAATAGAACCAAGATTGACTAATTAGATTATATAGCAAAGTAATCTAGAATTAGAGGATTTGGTTGAAGATTATAAAAAGAAACTGCCAGAAACTGAATGAAAAGGTTTTGACTTTTAGAAAGAGCTGTCGACATTGGATGGGAAAGTTTATAACAGTAGTGTAAAGCGAGCTAGACTGCAGCTTGCAGCTTGTTGTCAAAGATTCACACCGTATCCGCGACTGGGTTGATACTATATCTTGGTTATCAGTTCTATTTGTTGTTCGACTCAGTTTGGTTGGTAATCCCTTAGAACCGAAAAAAAACAATACAATACAACAATGAGGAAGTTAAGATAATCACAAAGCAAGTTTTTTACCACTCAATGATACTCGTTGAGTACTTTCTAGGCTAGGACTCACATTCAATGTTCGCTGAACGCATTCCTATGGTTGTATCGTTAGTGGTCCGTTACCATGTCTTCGGCTCAAACGCATCCTGCTTTAATTGTGTTGTTGAGGATACTTTTCTAGCTGATCAAATCAAAACATGGAGGCGTATGAAGTTTTGGAACAAAGCGCCGCCCGTTTCGCAGCTGACAAACTTTTTTTTCAATTTTAAAAAACGATGTTGAGAGATACAAGGTATCAATGCTTTAGAGTGAAAGTTAGATAAGCTTGCCTTGTAAATACTTTTTTCCTTGGCACAATTTAAGTAATGGTCCGGCGCTTTGTGAAAATTATGCAGAAACCATTAGAGATGATTATGTGACGGACAATGTTGTTACCATGCGCCGAAAAAAAGCCCAGTTCGATAAACGATCGTGAATGGTTTCTCCCGAATCGTCCGGTGAACCCGAGCATACCCGGCAAGTTGTACCGTGTCTCCAATGCATCTTCCCTAGAAAAATCTCTCCTGATTTGCCAGGGTCCGCTACAAAATCTTAATCTCGCTTCTCATCGTTTCCGACAGCATAAGTACGCCGTTTCGGCCGATTCTGAAAGGATGGTTTTGCAGGTTGAAGTCCTCGAGCGAGATCGAGCAAGTGTTTTTAAAGCCATTTTCGAGCCTCATCTTTTTGGTTGTTGATTATAAAGTGAACGGGATGTATCGCAATTGTATTTAACATCTCTAGTCTCTACGCTTCTAAAAAGACACGTTTAATGCACTGCTGTTGTATCTTTAATCGAAGCTTTGATAATCTATTAAAAAAAACTTACAAGTTTTTTTTAGAAAAATAGTCCACATTTATATTTGCCTATCAAACACCACGGCAAACAGATCTGTTTTCGAAACTAAATGCGAACCCAATTTAAAGAGTTTCTGAGCTTAGAATTTAAAAACAAATGAAACACAATTCCATGAGAATACAATTTATTTCATACCATTTTCTTAATGATGTTATGAAAACAGCTTACATCTTTTCGATTCGAAGCATCAAATAAATATAAAATGTTCCATTCTGATGTAGTGGGAACCGCAGTCACTTTTTTCGCGAAATTAAGGAAAAAGCAAAGTAGCTGATTGAGTGATTTAGTCGAACATGCAGAAAAAGGGAACAAAAAAAGCTCAAAAATCAGAGAAACTTATTTTATATAATCAAAAAATAATAATTATATTTCAGAAAAAGACGAGTTGTCATACAATAATAAAGGAAAAAGTATGACACACATAAGAATAATTGGAAAAAGGGATAATTGAAATTTTTAGCCGCATAATAGAAAAAGTCTTCAAATTCAACCCGGATTGGCTTACAGCCAAATAGATGCAGTGCAGCAACCATGCCTTTCTTAATTAAAATTGTCCTCTGGCTTGAAAAATTTATGGAGCATTTAGACTAAATTACCCCCTCTCAAATACTTTTGTTTGTTTCGTGTCTTTCTGTATTGGCGCTATGATAAATACAATTTTTTCAAGTCCATCGATTCAGAAGTAGAAATCAAAATCTTCTCGTTTGCTCGATTCCGGCCTGGCTTCGAATGCAGCTGGCGCTGATTGACTGATTTGATCCTCAAATTGTTGCTCCACATTTACAGCCTCGATGTCTGATTGGCTAATATTAACAGCCTCTTCTAGCTTCTGATTGGTCGATTCAGGAATGACAACAGTTCCTTCGGAGGACATCGTTGGTCTCTCACTCGTTAAAACATACTTCCCAGCCACATTCATTGTTTTCAGTTTGCGCCATAACATTCTAGTAAAACACAGTGAGTAAAATGATTTGAAATACACTAAAACTATTTTTCGGTACGTTCAGTTCAATTCAGTTCTCGTAGAGTTTGGTTTTTTTCCAGAAATGTCCTTGTTTTCTTTGTCAGCTCAGAAAATAGTAGTATCTCTTGTACACAAAACAGTGTCAATTCTCTTGCAAGACAATTTTACATCATTGATACACATTAGAAAAAGTAAGGGCCCTAAAACTGAGCCTTGAGGTACAAAAAACGAAATTGGTTTGTAATTAGAATTTTTACCATCAGTTTCGGCGAATTAATATCTATCAACAGGTTAAATTTTTCAGTAGCTCTGCAATTAAATTATCATGATTTATGTCAAACGTTTTTTAAAGTCAATATACAAAGCAAAATCTGTATTTCGTTTGTCAATTGCTTCACGCATGAATTCATTGAGTTTCGTTAATATATCAACACATGACTTTTTTGGTTGAAATGCAAAGTGTATGACATTTTTCTCTTTGATAAATTTGAGCAATTGATTATAGATAACTCTTTCAAAACTTCCGCGGAAGGATGGCATGATGCTAAATTGCCTGAATTTATCACACTCGTGTCGAACTTTGGCTTCATAAGCTGGGGCAACTTTTGCCATTTTGAAGTGGTTTAGGAAGTAAACAATTAGTAAACGTTCAAAAAAAAGTTTCGTCAAAAATTGGCTTGTAGATGTTATGCTATCATGACAACTAGATTTGTCTTTGAAAAGTTTTTTTTTTGATTTTTTTTGCCATTTTCGTCCGGAAAAAGTGCAAAAAAAAGAAACTTGTAGTTCTATCTGGTAACACTTCAAGAGTTGGGATCTTTGAACTTGACAGCAAGTTGCAAACAAATAATGGCGAAAAAACTATCATATATATTGGGATCAATTGCATTATGAATTATTTTGCAGTCCTTGCAGAATTGGTGGAAGGCTTGAAAAAGAGATTTGGAATTTTTCGATTTTTAGAAAGGCAAGATGTTATGGAGATGCAAAGTTGCTTAAAGTAGACTCACTTTATTTCTATGGGAGAGATGACAGCTTTGGACAGGTGATCATTGAACTCTTTGCCCACCTCAGTAGAGGTCTCGATCACTCGCTCGCACAGTTCACCATACCTCTCTATCTTCTTCTGAACAACAACACGAACAAGTTTTGGTCGATAGCTTAGAATTTGATTACGACTTTTTGTATCGATTTTTATTCCCAAGGACCAGGATGTCCGAAATTGTTAAGCTATCGATGTTAAGCCTACAGATCTCACGTTTATTTCATCCGATTTTCGCATATTTCAGTTTTAATTATGGCCAATTTAATTTTAATTTATTCGTCATCTAACAGGAAACTTTTTAGGATAATTTTTTTCTTCAACTTTTTTAACAATCGAGGACCTTTAAAACCAAAATATCCTCATGGGAACTTAGTTAAAAGTCCTTGATTTTTAAGAGGTCCTCGGTCTTAAAGAAAAAACATTGTCCTGAATGCTGGCCATAGACAAATTCAGCTTCATTTGAAAACGCTCTGGCAAAATTGCTAGGATCTTTTTCTGTCAAAATCTGACCTGGTCCTGTTGTGCTAGTTGTTTGATTGAGTGGGTGAGTGCTTTGGGAACCATGTCGTGTTTCATCTCCTGTCTTATCGAATCTATTCTCTCCATACTTGCAACTATCTCTTCCTTGAGCCCCAAAAGCAGTTCGGCTCTGCTCATTTTACTAACACCACCACTCGGAATATTCTGTTCATCTTCTTGGTGTAATCCAATTTGGCCATCGGAACCTTCGCTGCTGGTTGGGGGCTCTGAAAATACATTAAGAACTAGGAATTGATAAGCTTCCGGTGCAAAACTGCCATAATGATGGCATCATCGGCTCTTTTCCATTATAACTCTCTCAATCTGGTTTAAAAAAAAGTTGTAGTTCCACCATATAAGAGTTTTTGTATTTTAGAGCAGCAATAATTTGCTGGGGGTTATAATGGAAAAAAGCCAGGGCGTCTACCCTACAGGAGTCCAGAACTCACCTCCCAGGAGCGACTGTCTTCTGATCTCTTTCTTCGCCTCGACTCGTCGCTTTAAAGACTTGATCTGCTCGTGCAAACTAAACACACAAAACATCTCTGTGCAGTAGCATTTTAGTGTAATTAAAAAAAACACAAATGTATTATGATTGGTTAAAGTAATGTTTTAAAGGTTTTTTAACCTCTTCAACATAAAAGACTGAAGCCGTGTAACTCCGCGTTTAGCGTTTAAAGGATACCAATTTTTGCTATTTTTTCTATTTTTTGCAAACTTAGTAATAATTTTTGCAATCTACTTAAATTTTGCAAAATTATATTTGGTTTTTGCAAAGTTTTTCAAATTAATTCCAGGAACGTTTACGACTTTCGAATGATCTTACTCTTTATTGTCTTGCAGTATCATCTCAATTTCATTTTCCATCTCGCTGTTACGCAACTCCTCCTCCTCTATTACGTCACCACTACCGCCATCCAAACTGTTCACACCTCCTCGGCTATTTGCCGCTTCGGCCGAGTGGGCCGGCATGGGTAAAAAAGTGCCGGCTGTGAGTAGTCCAGTCACTTCGCTTTCCAGAGAGCCAGACTCCAGTTTTCTTCTCTCGTTCACAGCTAAGTGACGCAGGTAATTGTCGTACTCATTCTTAAATTACAAAACACACATATTTTAGACTACAAAAATAGGTATCAAATTTTGATACCAGCTGCGTAGGATGTACACGCCCTTACTGCACTTGGAATGTAAAATTTGCAAGGATCTTGCAAGCAAATGCAAACTTTGCAAGAATCTTGCACGAATCTTGCAATATTATGCACTCTTCAGAACTACAACCTTGATGCAAAACTTTCTTCTTGAAATCAATCCTTAATAATCCTCCCTTGACCCTTGATTACTGATTGATCGACAAATATCTAAGCATTTTCAACCCGAACCGAGACGCAGCACAAACGTTTGACATAGTGAACTTAAAACGGTAAAAAAAGAAACTTTTTAAGCATAGATTTATCTAATTTTTGGGCAGGGGCTTTTTTAAAGAACAAACTCTTGACGAAGTTACAAGGTGTTTGTTCGCGGAATCTGGTGAATTTGTGCAATTTGAAATATGTTAAAAAACTTGTCTCTGCATTTCAGTGACCCGCACACACCAAACAGTGCGCCTATCTAGTGCATAGTTTGTCCTCGAAATGGGTGAATTTATATTTGTAACCCATTTATACTATATCTACGTTTTCGTTAGTTTTTTTTGTTACGTTATAGCAATTGACGGTACTCGTTTAGAAGTATGGCCCCGTTAAAAACCTCGCTTAGAAGTATGGTCCAGAAAAACTCCATTTAAAAGTTAGACATAAAAGTTTTAAAGTAGTGTCTAAGTTTTGTCAATGAATTGATACTTGCAATAATTTAGTTTTATAGTAAATTTTGGGGCAAATCCAACGAAAAAATGTTTAGAAGCTTTCTTTTTGTTTTCATCCACTCAAAGTACTTCAAGAATAACTTAAATTTTTCTAAACGAAATTTTGAGTGGGATTCATCAAAAACGGCGGGACATAACTTCTAAGCAAGTACCTAATTGACTTATTGGGTCTCTATGCAATACAATATACCTTGTAGAATTGGTGACTCTACTGTAGTACATGCTATAGTAACCTGATTGTAAGATTAATTCGTCATTAAGTTAAGTAGGACAGCAAACAAAGGGTAAAGTTCGAAATAGTTCAATCTTCGAAAATATTGTCCCTCCTATGCCAGAAAACAAAATTTGACAAAATCGGCGGACCCCCCCCAAGTCGGAACTAAGAGAGCTTATGTTATGAAATTCAGAGGAGCGATACTAGAGATGATTTGACCCGGGCATACAAAAAACGGGACCCCTCAGACCCTTGGGGGGCAAGTGATAACGGTCCCCGGAAGTGTAAATGGCCCTATCAGAACTCGGAAACTAGCGGCGGTGTTGGGCTCAAATTCTAGTATGTTGTAGGCCTAGTTGATGGAAGCTTAATTTTGGAACCCCAGACCCCTAAGACCTCCACTTCCGGTTTTATGCCCAAAGTAGGCAAACCCACCCCTAACTTCGGGAAGTCGTTTCTCGGCCTCCAATGATCGCAGGGAGCTGAAACTTGGAGGGATGATAGGTAGTGGCAAGATAAATCTTGTATTATAATTTGAACTAATTCCGGCGGCTGGACCGGCATTATTAGCATTTGGAAAAACACCCCATAGAGCGGAAATTGGCAATTTACGCGACATAATGAGCGAGGGCATATCGATTTTAATGCGGCAGTGGACATAAGATACGGACCCGGAAAAAAGACCCCTTGTGAGTGAAAACCCTCCGGCGACTCCTTCCGGTGTTAATAGCTTTTCCTGGGAAAAAGGATAATGGACCTCAGAAATGGTATAATTGTGGAGTATTAACAGGATATGGATGAAACTTGGTAGTTAGGACCCCCATGGGATTCTGAACCCAAATATGGAAGTTTGGCCCCGGTTGACCCCTGGGTGACCTTAAAGTGACATTTGGGCATCGTGACCCCAAAATTGCATGGAAAGCTCCAATATTAACACCGGAAAGGGGCGCATTTCCCAGCCCAACCCCTGGAAATGAGAATGGGTCACCTTGCTAAAAATTGGGGGAAATACTTATATATTGAGAACTAGAGCAGAAGCTGATAGAGATATAGCTTTTACATTGCAACCTTGGAGTAGAGGATTTAATTCAAATGGACTTGGTAAATAATGAGGTCAGTTTAGCTTGGCGAATGTGCTATTAATAGAATATCAGTCAGGGTAAAAGAAAAGTAGTCCCAGAAGAAATTGATTGTAATAGTACCGCGGCATGAAAGTTAAGTTTCCTAAATAGTATGAATGGACGAGAAATCTACTTGGCTCTCCGGAGGTGACTTTTTGGCTTAATTTGACCCCTAATAGACGAACTACGTTCCCCTGATAGCTGGAAGGTCGGGATTGGAATAGAGTACAGATAGAATTTTTAGATGCCTGAAATTAGTTAGCTACCCATGAAAAGGGCCTTCCCCTACCCTTGGGAGGTCGGAACGTTAACGGGATTTTTAAGATAAAGGCCTTGGGAATAAAGATTGAGTAAACATAGCATGGTTTGGAGGTTGAGTTGAACTCGAAAGCTGAAATTCACAGAGTTCAGGAATTGGTTGATTAGAATCGTATGACATTTGTTTGCTTGGTCAAATTGTGACAGCTACCGCATACCGGGTATCTAATAAGTGTGAAACGAATGATAAAAGAAACCAAAGTTGGCACGTGGCAGAGTTGACAGTAGGAGGGATATAGTCGGACGGGTGTGCGGACGGGTGATTTAAGCGGATGTCAGGACTGATAGGGAATGGCGTGACTTAACTACAACTAAGTGTAAAGAAAGATAAGGAATTGGAGGGTACCGGAGAGCCTGTAAGAGTCGGATGAATTAATGCGAGCGAATCGAATAGTTGGTTCTCAGTTAGTTAGAGAACATTTTGGGCTACAAGCTAAGGTAGTCGCTTGATTCTCAAAGTAAAGTGAGAACGAGTTGGAAGACTTGTTAACGTGGATGTAGATTAGTTAGTGAATGTTAGTTAGGATATCTAGAGGATAGCGGAATTGTTGTTGAACGATTGATATTGAAAAAAGTTCTCGAGGAGAACGTTAGTTAGTAGTTAGGTGTTAATTGAACTGCAGGAGGCAGTTGGTTTAAATAATAGTAATCGCAAACCCGTTTCTTAAATTGAAAGATTAATTTATATTACAGCCAATTATAGGCTACTCTGTATTTGTTTATATTCATTTCTTACTTTATTCTTACTCTTGGAATTGTTGTTGCGATCGATTATTGATTGACGGGTGAGATACAGTCGGAGGAGCACGAATCACGGGGCGAGCAGCATAGTACAGTACAGAGCAGCCAACCACCAAATCAACCCTTTTGGGATTGTGAACAGTACTGGGAATCGGTTGCCCCACTGACCTCAGTACAAAAGGGGAACATATTGCGGCGGTGTGAAATAGCGAGCAAGTTCGGCCTATAGATATTGTGAATTCCCCCACGTTTACAGTGGCGCTCCTGGGTGGGCCAATTCTGGATTGCAGTTGCACAGAGGGTGTGTGTTGCTATTTGACGATATGGAAGAACAGGACCGGCGGCTGATTGCTGAAGCGGCAGTTGCAGCAGCGAACGCGCTGGACAGACAACAAGGCGTATTTGGATTCGGGACAATACGGCCGGATCGTTTTCTTTCCAGTACCTATCAAAACTGGGCAGACTGGAGAAAGCATTTCGCTTGGGTCGCGGACGCCAACCGCTGGGAGGACGAGCAGGCCAGGATGGTCCTGCCAACCTGTTTCATGAGCTGGGCGTTGGACGAAATTACAAGCATGACAGCCCACTTTTGAGAAGAGATCGAGGGCTATGACGAGCCAACGTTGGCTAGGATGCTCGCCGAACTCGATCACAGGATGATGCCGTTTCCGACGCACGCATGCGCCCGAGCGGAGTTCAAAAGTCTGATGCAAGGTGAAAAGGAGGGTCTTAGGGAGTTCTCCAGACGAGTCCGGTCCCTTGGGGATGTAGCCAATGTGAACATCGGATCCCAAGCTAGAGATGACATGAACCGTGAGCAGTTCATCGACGGGCTGTTTGATGCGGAGCTCCAAGACCAGCTCTTGCGGGAAGATTTGGGGAGCCTCGCTCAGGCCGTTGCTCGGGCCCAAGCCCTGGAGCAAGTCAACAAGACGTCACGGACCAGAAACAGAAAGAGGCTGCATTTCGTGAGAGTGGCCGAGAATGTACCAGAGCAGGGGGCAGAGGCTAGTCGCGGTGCTGGTGGACAGAGCAATCGGCTGCCACATGTCGGGACCAATTTGGGACGACAGGAGGCGGTCACTGATCTTCAAATCGACCAATTGGTGAGTGTCCAGAGTGATCTTCTGAAACAGATGCAGAATATGACGTCTATGATGGGTAGGTTTGTCAATTCTATTATTCCTGCCCCCCACTCGAAGAATCTATCCCGCCCTGACCAAACCCAACGAAACCGGCAGCTCTTTGACCCTTAACCGGGCGAGGACCGTCGGAGTTACCAGAACAGTGGAGTCGGACGCTACGGGATGAAAAGCCAGGCACCCTGTGGCGACTGCTATACATGTGGTCAGCCAGGACACTTTGCGAAGGAGTGTCTGAGAAAGGCTTCGGTTCATTTAAACTACCGAGGGCCGGGGGCAATGAGCGAGTTCAAAATAGGCTTTGTGCCGGCCGACGTACAGAGACTACAGGCACCGAAGCGAAACGAGACGACTTACGGTTCGTGTAGAGGCAGCCACAACGAGTGGCCGAAACAAAATGTAGACAGTAAAACACTAAGGGAACAGGGACAAGTACTGTAGATTTTGGAACGAATACCTCGTGTCACAGAGGTCTCTCCCGGGCGAGAAACGAGGGAGAAACCACGAGTCGAGCAAGTGGGAATTAGTCACGATACCTCCGGATCCCGTGGAGTAGTCGTAGATGGAGAAACCAAGCCGAGACCTTGCTAGATACGGGGGCAACGACTGACCTCATTCGTACAGATGTAGCTCGAGATCTCTTAGACTCGTCTGAGATTGAGCCATATCGGGGCAGACTAGAGACAGCAGAT